GGTGTCTGTGTCTCCCCCACCCCCCAGCCTCCTCCCCAGCCAGCCCAGCCCACCCGGACCGAAGCCCCTTTACCCTCAGCTCCGCGGCTGGACAGAGATGGGAGTGTTTCAAGCAAACATTCTTGCGGGGCCAGTGGGAAGGGGTGAAAACAAAAAGCCAACACACAAAGACCAGGCCGCAAGTGGAGGCTTGTCCGGGGTCCCCGACTGCCATGGAGACGCAGCAGTCCAATGCCAGGCCCAGAGGGGTGTGGTGGCCTGGGGGCCCCTGGCAGAGCCCCGAGCCAGGCCGGCCTTTCACAGGATCAGGAGCCTCTGGCTCTCTGGTTCCATCAGCAAATCTAGGCCCCAGCCGCTGTCTGTGGAGGAGGGGAGCGACCAGCGCTTCAATCCAGGGCCGTGGTCTAGGCAGATCACCAGGGAACCGGCTGCCCACCCCCCCGGGGCCTGGTCCACAGCCAGCCTGGGTCAGAGAGATGGACGATGGACAGGCGCAGGACGCAGCGGGCAAAGCAGGGTACAGGGCTCAGAGGAGAGCGGCTGCCCTAATTACTCTAGCTCTCCAGGTTCCAATCCGGTTTCAAAAGGACTCCAGAGACGCAGCCTTTAATAAGTACCTGTAAACAGACTGGGAAATCGATGCCTGGTAAATAGAGCCCTAGAGGGGCTGGCGGGGGCTGGCTAGCTCCCAGCATCCTTTGCAGCAGAGCTGACCTCTGGAACCTCCCCCCTGCGGCCCCTATCTCCCCACCCCACGTCCAGGACCTAGCTCTCCCGTCTCCCGCTGCAGACAGCCAAGTAGGCCACAGCTGCAGATATCAGATGGGCTTCGGCCTTCCTGCTGGGGGAAAGCCACAGTGAGTCTGACCTGATCCTTGATCTCCCGAAAGCCCCACCCCGTGAGGGCGGTTAGGAACAAAGGCAAATCATTTAATGCCAGTGTCTAGATACACCTGCACTGGGGGAATAAAAGCTGTGCCAGTAGAAGGCTGGGATGGGGAGGAATGAAGTCTGAGACCAACCAGCACAAAATGGTCACGAGAGACTCTCATCTCCACCAACAAAAATCTGGACATGGTGTCGCCAACATCCCCACAGGAGGCCCAGGCCAGCCCTGCACAGAGGGAAACCCAGTTTGAACAAAAAAGAACATAAAGGGCTGAGGATGTGGCTGAAGTGGTAAAATGCCTGCCTGGCAAGCACAGGGCTCTGAGTTCAAACCCCAGTACCACTAAAATTAAATATTAAACCTGCGTAGGATATCGAGACCAGTAACTTTTAAAAGCCCTGGCTGGAGGCGATGGGCAGACACAGAGGGCTTTGTTGGATGCGTAGGAGTTCACCATTGAGGCTGGGGACAATGACTGTGGGTGACATGGGACAGAGCTGCGGTAGTTAGCATCACGGATCGTGACTTGTCTGCCGAGTGCTTTGCAGCGTTCCTCTGCCCTCGCCTCTCTGAGGTGAGAATTGTTATCCACATTTTCCAGAGCAAACAGGGGCCGCGTGCCGAGCAAGGATTTCTCCCAGGCCCGAGAGAACTCCGAGCTGCTTTTCTCTGGATCACCAGGCTGGTCCTGCACGGCCCAGCCCTCCCCACCCTCCCCTCCCAGTCCCCCCACCCGGCTCCGGACCCAGGCCTCTCTCCACCTTCCTGGCCCCACCACCCTTTGCCCTCAGCTCAGTTCCTCCTGCACTTGGGGAAACCGAGGCCCTGAGCGGGGAGCTCAGCACCCAGGCACAGCGGGTTCAGGATCTGGGCTTTCCTCCCTCACTGGCCCCTCCCAGGCCTGCTCTGGACGAGGGAGAAATCAGTACACAGGCGCTCAGTAGAAATGATAAATGAGACTGTACGTCAGGCCCCGCCCAGGGCCGGGTTAGTCTTCCTCTGATTGGCTGGAGTATGGCAGACCCAGGGCTCAGCCTCGGGCCCACACCCTGCCCCTCTCCAATCAATAGCTTCAGCTCCAGGCCTCGGTTTCCCCTGCTGGCTGAGTAGTTGGTGGGTTGGGTCAGAGCAAGGAGGAGGGGTGGGCTTCACCAGGACTGCCCCCCTCACTGCAGATCCCTGGGTCAGGCGCTGGGGGACCCCCCCCCCCCCAGGGATGCTCACCCAAGAGGAAGGTCTGCACCTACCCGTTTTCCAGATGAGAAATCGAAGCGGAAAGACATGGGGTCACCTGACCAGTCATGGACTGGAAAGTGGGAGGTACCAGGTCTTGAAATGAGGTAGGGGGTTTCCACCTGGACCCTGTGCTCTGCAGAAACTCACTCTCATTCCTGTGGCCCAGTAACTGTTTGGGGACAAGCCTTTTGGATTAGCCCCAACCCATTTTCAACACAGAGCCACTGTGGCATAGGCAGGCTCGGGGGGCCTGGCGTGCAGCTGGGAGGCCCTGTGGGCAGCTTTCTGGCAGACCTGCCAAATGAATCAGTGAAGGAATTTTCCCACGCCAGCCCCAGGATTCTAGAGCAAGCCAAAGGCTCTGATAAGTCCTGCATCCCGGACTGTTAGTGGGGGTTAGCGCAAGGCTTCCCATGGGGACTGGCTCAGGGGAAGCTGAGCTTTGGCAAATGTGTAGCCAAGGTGGGGAGTGCCCCAGCATTCAAAGTGGGGTGTGTGTACCCACCCAGTCAGGGGACCAGGAGCCACTGCAGGGTGTGGGTCTGGAAGGAGCACTCTGCATGGAGCCCTGCAAATACCACAGGGGGCTGGTGTTTACCAAAGGAAGAAAGATATGAATAAATAAGGACGGGACCGTGTTTGAAGGGATAAAGGCCTAAACCATGGCTGGGTGTGGTAGTGCACACCTGTAATTCCAGCACTCAGGAGGCAGAGGCAGGAAGGTCTCGGGTTTTGTTTGTTTGCTTGCTTTGGTCTGGTCGTGGGGCCTGAACTCTGGGCCTGGGCGCTGTCCCTCAGCTCTTCAGCTCAAGGCTAACACTCTACCACTTGAGCCACAGCACCACTTCTGGCTTTTTTTCTTTTTGCTTATGTGGTGCTGAGGAATCGAACCCAGGGCCTCAAGCATGCAAGGCAAGCGCTCTACCACTGAGCCACCTTCCCAGCCCCCAAGGTCTCAGGTTTGAGACCAGAGTGGGCGATAGTACACAAACAGACAGAACCCTGTCTCAAAAAGAAGAGGCCAAACCCCAAAGCTACGGGTACATGAACTAATGGACTTTATTCACCCGACACCGCCTCAGGTGCTGGTTTTATAGCTGGAAATAAAACAGAATGGCCACCCAGCGGCCGTTACACTTAGCAGGGAGGGGGGCAGAAGCAGGACAAGGGGTCGGACAGAAAACCTCCGGGATGAGGGAGGAGCAGGGCGGGAAGGGGGATGGATGAGGGCAGGGTGGGTGAGAGAAGGAATGAATGAATGAACACAAAGATGGCGGATGAGCGCGGGAAGGCATGAGCTAGTGCTGGGCTGGTGCTGGGCTCAGGACCGAGCTGAATGAGTGGGGAAGGTGTGAACAATTGCATGGCCCGGTGGGTGAGCCGAGGATGGGCAAGCGCAGGAAGGCACGAGCCAAAGGGTCATACTATCCGGGGCTGGGCCAGTGCAGGGTTCGAATTCATCACCGAGTGAATGAATGAATGAATGAATGAATGAACTGTACCTGGGAAGAATGGGGGGGGGGAGAGAGGTGAGGCAGGGCGGCGGCCTGGGGCCCTGGTGGGCACATTTCCTCCCCAGGCCCCTTTGTGAGGGCCACGGCCTGAACCCCGATCCACAACATCCTGTCCCCACTGAGCCCGGCCTGGGGCCCCAGGACCGGCCTGAGCTGGCAGGGGGGAGAAGGAGGGCTGGCCTGTGGCCTGTGTGCGCTGATCTGTCCCCCTTGTCCCCCCGTCCCCCCTGTCCTCCCGTCCCCTGTCCTCCCGTCCCCCCGTCCCCACTGTTCCCCCCGTCCCCCCGTCCCCCCATCCCCCGTCCCCCCTGTCCTCCTGTCCACCCCGTCCCCCGTCCCCCCCGTCCCCCGTCCCCCCGTCCCCCGTCCCCCCCCGTCCCCCGTCCCCCCCCGTCCCCCGTCCCCCCGTCCCCCGTCCCCCCTGTCCTCCTGTCCACCCCGTCCCCCGTCCCCCCCGTCCCCTGTCCCCTGTCCCCCCGTCCCCCGTCCCCCCCGTCCCCCGTCCCCCCCCGTCCCCCGTCCCCCCGTCCCCCGTCCCCCCTGTCCTCCTGTCCACCCCGTCCCCCCCGTCCCCCGTCCCCCCGTCCCCCCGTCCCCCGTCCCCCCGTCCTCCTGTCCACCCCGTCCCCCGTCCCCCCCGTCCCCCGTCCCCCCGTCCCCCCCGTCCCCCGTCCCCCCCCGTCCCCCCGTCCCCCGTCCCCCCGTCCCCCCTGTCCTCCTGTCCACCCCGTCCCCCGTCCCCCCCGTCCCCCCCGTCCCCCGTCCCCCCGTCCCCCGTCCCCCGTCTCCCCCCTTCCCCCCGTCCCCCGTCCCCCCGTCCCCCCGTCCCCCGTCCCCCGTCCCCCGTCCCCCCGTCCCCCCCCGTCCCCCGTCCCCCCGCCCCCCCCGTCCCCCCGTCCCCCGTCCCCCCGTCCCCCCGTCCCCCCCGTCCCCCCGTCCCCCCGCCCCCCCCCGTCCCCCCCGTCCCCCCGTCCCCCGTCCCCCCGTCCCCCCGTCCCCCCCGTCCCCCCGTCCCCCCGTCCCCCCGTCCCCCCCCGTCCCCCCGTCCCCCCGTCCCCCCCCCGTCCCCCCGTCCCCCCGTCCCCCCCGTCCCCCGTCCCCCCGTCCCCCCGTCCCCCCCGTCCCCCCCGTCCCCCGTCCCCCCGTCCCCCCGCCCCCCCCGTCCCCCCCGTCCCCCCGTCTCCCGTCCCCCCGTCCCCCCCGTCCCCCCGTCCCCCCGTCCCCCCCGCCCCCCCCCGTCCCCCCGTCCCCCCGTCCCCCCCCCGTCCCCCCGTCCCCCCGTCCCCCCGTCCCCCCCGTCCCCCCGTCCCCCCGTCCCCCCCGCCCCCCGTCCCCCGTCCCCCGTCCCCCGTCCCCCGCAGGCACCATGCGCCCCGTGCGCCGCAACTTCTTCGAGCCGTCGTCGGCGCCGGGCAAGGGCATCGTGTGGGAGTGGGAGGCGGACGGCGGCGCGTGGACGGCCTACGACATGGACGTGTGCATCACCATCCAGAACGCCTACGAGAAGCGGCACCCGTGGCTCGACCTGTCCTCGCTGGGCTTCTGCTACCTCATCATCTTCGGCAGCATGTCGCAGATGAACCGGCAGACGCGCCGCCGCCGCCGCCTGCGCCGCCGGCTGGACCTGGCCTACCCGCTGACGGTGGGCGCCGTGCCGCGCTCGCAGTCCTGGCCGGTGGGCGCGGGCCCCGGCCGGCCGTGCTCGTGCGCGCAGTGCCTGCTGGTGGACTGCACGCGCGCCGCCTCCAACGCCGTGCTGGCCTCGCAGCGCCGCCGCGCGCCGCCGCCGCCCGCCGCCGCCGCCGCGCGCGCCCTGCGCCCCAGCGCCACCTTCGCGGGCGCCGCGCTCTGGGCCGCGCCCGCCGCCGCCAACGCCGCCGCAGCCGAGCCCGCGCCCGCCGCCACCGCCGGCCCCGCGCGCGCCCCCGACGCCGCGCCCGCCCCGGGACAGAACAACCTCAACCGGCCCGGGCCCCAGCGCGCCGCCGCCGGCTCGCGCGCCTCCATCCCGCCCGGGTAAGACGGGGCCCGCCCGCGGGCGCACACACACGGCCGGCCGCGCGCCCGCGTCCCTGTCCCTGCTGCCCCGGAGGGTCGCCGTGCCAGGCCAGTCCGGGCAGGAAAAGTCCAGAATCTTCCCGAAGTGGAGCTGTGGCTCAAGTGGTGGAGAGCCAGCCTTGAGCGAAAAAGCTCAGGGACAGCGCCCAGGCCCCGAGTTCAAGTCCCGGGAGTAGCACACACACACACACACACACCCCAAAACAAGCCGGGTGATGGTGCGTGGCTCAGGCTTGCAATCCTAGGTTCTCAGGAGGCTGAGATCTGAGGATCCCAGTTCGAAGTCAGCCCAGGCAGGAAACACTCTTTTTTTTTTTTTTTTTTGGGTCCGGTCGTGGGGCCTGAACTCTGGGCAGGGCGCTGTCCCTCAGCTCTTCAGCTCAGGGCTAGCGCTCTACCACTTGAGCCACAGCGCCACTTCCGGCTTTTTTCTTTTTGCTTATGTGGTGCTGAGGAATCGAACCCAGGGCCTCAGGCATGCTAGGCAAGCACTCTACCACTGAGCCATCCTCCCAGCCCAGGAAAGACTCTTTATCTCCAAGGAGCAACCAGAAAAGCAGAAGTGGTGTTGTGGCCCAAAGGGGTAGAACACTGGCCTTGAGCGAAAAAGCTGAGAGACAGTGCCCAGGCCCCAAGTTCAAGTCTCTGGACTAGTATACACACACACACACCCCAGAACAACAAAAACCCATATCACCCCCAGTTAAAGACAAGGAGACAAAGCCTGGGAGGGCACTCCCAGGTGACAGGGTCCCCAGGTACCACCAAGAGTCCCAGATTCCTCATGCTTCCTTCCTACATGACCCCTGCAGTCCATGGCTCCCCCAAACAGCTCTGGGGACCCATCGTGCCCGCGAGGCTGGAGGTGGGGAACCCTCCGGCAGCACCCACCCTGCAGGATCCCAGAGCTGGGCTGCCCAGTGTGGACCTGGAGGCCTGTGGGTTGCGTCTGGCATCTGCTTGGTCCTGTGATCGTGGCCCCTCCCCTCTGCCTTATTAGGATGGTTCTCAAACTGGGTTCCAGGTGGGACACATGGGGTGCCTTGGGATGGGGCTTTGGGGAAGGGAGGTCATACATGTCCTGTCTCCTGCCTTACCCACAGCTCTCTTGGGGGGGTGGCTCTTTTCTGCAGGGCTTTCACTCTTTTCAACAGGATTTCACTGAGGAAGGTACCCCAGGTCATACGGAGTTTAGAAATCCCGGGGTGCAATGTGCGAGGCATGCACAGGGGAAACAGCTTTTTCTGCTGAGGGAGTTTGAGGGCAGGCTTCCAGGGCGGGCTGGGAATTCCTCTGCTTTTCTGCGCCGTGCTGAGTCTCCAGGTGTGTGCTGTGGTTGTGTGTGAGCAGACCCACAGACAGACAGATGGAGAGACAGACAGGAAGGTAGTCACACAGCCATGACAGAGTCTACCTGTGCAGGGAGGGGCAGGCTGGCGGTGGGGGCGCGGGGTGCGGTGAGAGGAGGTGCACAGAAAGGCCGTTGCGGGTAGAGGGAACTGCCAGTGCGTCTGCCAGGGAGCTAGGAGGACGCGGCCTCCACCCTGCCGGGCAGAGCACTAGGCAGGGGGTCTGGATGAGCTCGGAAGGTTCCAGAGACCACACAGGAGTAGAGGCTCACTTGTAGAAACAGTGGGGGCTGAGATGGAGTGTGTCTGAGCTGTGGGGAGAAGGAGAGGGTGGCCTCATCATTGAACATCCTCTTCTCACTAGCCTGCGCCCCCATTTCCCTTGCCCACCCCCTGCTATTCTAGCCCTTCCTGCACCCAGCAGGAAGGTGGGAGATGGGGGTGGAGGGGCCATGTGAGGCCATGTGAGGCCCTCCACCCTCTGCAGGGATGCAAGCCCAGCCCCTCCCCCCCACAGCCCCTCAACCCACCCTCCCCAGCCAGCCGAGCGAGCCCCTCAACTCCCAAATCCAAGCCAAGAAGCCCCAGCTAAAAATACCCCTAGCTCTGGGGGGAGGGGGAATGGGGGGGAGAGGCCCCAAGGTGGGGGGTGGGAGAGGAGAGTGGGGTGGCCAACCCCATCCTCCAGTGCTGATGCTTACAGTTGCCAAGGCAACGAAAGCCCCGTGGCAGCCTGGGATTGGAGGCAGGGGGGAGGGGGTGGTCCCTGCTGAGCCACACAGCCTGGCCTCCCTCCCCCCCAGCCTGCTGGCTGGGCCTCTCCTCCCCAGCTCTGTCCCTGTGTCTGTCTGTCTGTGGCCTTCTGAGCACCCCCCCATCCCGCAGTGGCCCCACTTCACAGCGAGGGGCAGAGACCCTGCCTCAGGGCTGCAGTTCTGGTGCGCGCCCTGGGCCCTGCCCCGTGTGTCCTCACTTCACCCCGCTGCCGCTGCCCTGCTCCCGTTCTTCCTCGCACGGAGGTTGTCCTGCTGGATCTGGCCGCCCTGGCCCGATTGCTTTTCACTCCATGCTCCCTTTAGAGAGCCAGCCTCACATCCAGCCCCTCCTGGGGTCCTGGAGCGAGACCCCAGTGCAGGAACCCCCAAGTCCGCCCCTAACCAGGCCTGTGGGGCTCTCCCTCCACAACTGCCTGCAGGTGGGCCTCTTTGTCTTCCTGCCTCTGTCCCTCTGTCTGTCTGTCTCTCTCCTCAACCCCACCTGACTGGTCTCTCCCGTCTTTCCTCTCAGCCCATCCCTCTCTTTTTGCTTCAATCTCCCGTCAGGCAGACTTGGGCAAGTGTCTTTGCTTCCCTGGACTCAGTTTCCCCATCTGACAAAGCTCAGCCACCAGCTGACTTGAGATGACTGACAGGCTCTCCTCGTCCCACCCTGGAGGGGGCACGGGAGGGAGGACAGAGAGGAGGAGTAACCGGCCTGGAGGCCCACAGCCAGCCGAGGCAGAGCTTTAACCGCGGCTTTTTCCACCGGCCCCTGGGGAGGGGGGGGGGGAGTGGGCAGAGAGCCAGCTGGCAGCGTGGGCCCGAGGGGCCCACAGGGTGGGGAAGATCTGCCCCGCCCCCCCACAGGTCACCGTCCAGCCCTGCCGAACACAGCTGGGCAGCTGGGCGGACAGCGGAGCTTCACTCAGACTTTCCACCCCATGGGGGAGGGAAGCACAGTGCGGGCCTGCTTGGGTTTGCCAGGGAGAAGCCCTGGCATACAGGGCCTTGCTCGCTCGCTCGCTCCCACCCCGGGTGGCATTCCTCACGCTGGGAGACGGGTTCAGAAGGCTAAGACACTTGCTCAGCCCCATGCGTTTCAGCCTGACTACACCCATTCGCCACAGGCCAGGCCCTCCCTGCGAGGAGACTGCGAGCCCCGGGAGAGGGGAGGGGCCCGCCCAGGCCCAGGTCAGGCCCAGCTTGGCATTCCCTCTTGTGTGTCCTTGCTCAACCCGTCACCCCTCCTGGTCTTGGAAAGGGGTTGGCATAAGGCCAGATGTCAAAGCACCTGCATCTGAAAATCTGGCCTGCCAATCATGATCAGCCTGGCACAACATTGCCAACCTCATGGGTGCCAGAGGCACATGTGGACGTTCTGCCAGCCTGAGAGCCTGCGCAGAGATTTTATGTTTGAGAATAAGGCACTTCCCCCCCCCCTCCTAAGTAGCACATTGAAAGGACTCAAAGGTCCAAATCAATCCAAAACTGTTCACCCCCTGCAGGTTCCCGGCAGGCCCCAGCTCCCCCCCCCTCCTCCCCCCCTTTTCCTGGCCCCAGAGCTGTAACCTTGCCTCACCCGAGGTCACCCCCCCCCCCCTGCCCCCACCTGAACCGCTTCCTGCCCTGCTCCCTGGGAGGCCAAACCTCACAGTCTGGTCTGTACCACGTGGCTGCTGCTGGCTGGCAGGCGTGGGAACCGCTGGCCTCCCCCCCTACCCCCCCTCAGGCAGAGAGAGCCGGCTGGGGGACCAGGAGAGTACAAAAGCTGAGAACGAAGGCCCCTGGAGCAATCTGAACCCCAAATTCCAATCACCCCTCTCCAACTGTTTCTCAAGGGACACTGTCAGCACAAGAAGAACCAAGGTCCCCCAGAATGTGGGTGCTGGAGCCAGGAAGAGGGGGGACCCCAAACTGCGTGGCTGCCCTAAGGAAGCCAGACCTGGCTTCTGCTCTATACAGGAGGAACTCAAAGGATTCCTCAGACTGGGCCTGGGAAGGCAGGGCTGGCCAGGATGGAGGCCCCCAGGCGATAGAAAGAGTTCTCACTGAGCAGAGGAAGCTGTGTGTCCCACATCAAAAAGGGGCCCCCCATGGCTCCCACGCTCGGCCTCATGGGAACTTGGCTACCCGAAGTTCTCGAGGACAGCCTGCAGACTGTGGGAGGCCAGGGCCCAGTTCAGGGCCACCCCACATCAGCAGTTCACTAGTAGATAAGTGAAAGACAGCCCATGGGCAGACTGCTATAACCTCCATCCTGGGTGCCAAACTGACTTTTGTAAGGCAGAACTCTGGGTTTTACAGGATTCCAGAAATGATCTGAAATGGGCTCTTCTTGGAGTTCCCTGCCCAGTCTCAGTAAGAACAGTGGCCTCAATTGGATCAGACTTTGGGCAGCTGTAGAACAGAGGTATCAAGCTTTCCTGATTGATTGAGTCTGCCTGGAGAGCTGTGATGGGTTGTGATGCCTGCCAGGGTAGGAACGAGGGGATGGTGGTATATGTGCCCTCCATTTCTAGATAGGCTGCCTAGGACCACATGACTTTGGAAGCCTAGCATGATAGCACACACTTATAATCCAACCCTGCAGGAGGATCATGAGTTCCAGGACAGCCTGGCTGACATAATGAGACTGTCCCCCCACCCCCCTCAAAGAAGCCTTTGGAAACTGACATTGTTGTGTTGCTAACCGTGTGTCCTCATGCAGGGCTTATTGGAGGCTCTCTTGTGTTCAGTGACGTTGAATCCCTGAGAGGGCGACAGACAGGGGCTCCAGATTCATTCTTTATTCTTCATTAACTTTGAGAGACGTGAAGTCACTAATAATTGCTCTGTGACCAATAAAGGGAGAGCTGGAGGCCCAGCCCCTGGCCCTGGGGAGGAGGCGGTGCTGGCCCTGCCCTCTGTCCCAGGCCCGTAGCTGGGTGGGTTTCCTGCATGGCAGACAGGTGCGAAGAAGCCAGAGACAGAAGGAAAACTAGGGTTCCCTGACGGAGTTCAAGTCCAGCTGTGGCCTCATCTTATCCCGGCAGGGTCCCCGCGCTTCCCGTGAAGAACCTGAATGGTACTGGACCTGTGCACCCGGCCCTAGCAGGTGAGGCCAGCCAGGGCGGGAAGCAAGGGCGGGGCCTGTGGGGAGGGTGTACCCCACCCACCCATAGCCAGGTGGGTGGAGTCTGGGGAGCCCCGCCCACTATCCTTGCCAAAGGCTCACAGAGGGTGCGGCCCCAGGACCCGATCCCTTCAATCCACCAATGGCGGGAGAGTATCCGTGTGGTGGGCGTGGCTTGACAGCGCCGGCTCAGGATCGCCATGGGGGCGTGGCCTGCAGTGTCGCCCCGCCCCTGACCGCTGCGGTGGGCGTGGCCTTGCTGTCCATCCTGCCCCAGGCATGACCGGGATCCTGCTGTGCGCCGCGGGGCTGCCCGTGTGCCTGACCCGTGCCCCCAAACCCGTCCTGCACCCGCCACCCGTGAGCAAGAGCGACGTGAAGCCCGTGCCCGGCGTGCCCGGCGTGTGCCGCAAGACCAAAAAGAAGCACCTCAAGAAAAGTAAGCCCCCGGGCCCTCCCCCCGCATTCTCAGGCCGGCCCCTCCTGCCCCTGCCCCCTTGTCTCTGAGCCTGCCCACCCACCCTCCTGCCACCCCGGCCTGGGCTCTGCCAACCCCACCCTGGCCCATCCACAGCCAAGCCCTCCAGGGTGGACGCTGGGTGGATGCCCTCCAACCCCCACTGCCCGTGTCCCTGCAGGTAAGAACCCCGAGGACGTGGTCAGAAGATACATGCAGAAGGTGAAAAACCCACCGGATGAGGTGAGCAGCCGGGGAGGATGGGCCTGGGCAGCCTGGAGAGAACCCGGCCTGCACTCCACCCTGGGCAGCTCCCCCGGGCCTGGCCTTCCAGCCTTCCCTGCCTCCCAGGGGCCCTGACAGACACGGGCGCTGGCCTCCCTGAATCTCATGTCCACTTCAGATGGCTGACAGTTTCCGGTCACCCCCCAACACACACACACACATCTCCACAAAATGTTTTGAAGTTTCCATTTTGGGGTGGTTAATCCTTTAATCCAACCGGACAGGGGCCTGGCTGATGGATCTGAATTTAACGGATGAAGGCTGTGTTCTCTCCATTTGCCAGATGGGTGTTACAGGCAGGGCTTGTGGTGTGTGAGTGTGTGTGTGTGTGTGATACATGTACGTGCTGCTCGGAGGCTCCCACCTCCCCAGCCCTCAGTTTCCCTTGGGGCCCCTCCAGGACTGCACCATCTGCATGGAGCGGCTGGTCACGGCATCGGGCTACGAGGGCGTGCTGCGGCACAAGGGGGTGCGGCCGGAGCTCGTGGGCCGCCTGGGCCGCTGCGGCCACATGTACCACCTGCTGTGCCTCGTGGCCATGTACTCCAATGGAAATAAGGTGGGCCAGGCCCCCATGGGGGGTGGGAACCCCCCCTGCACCCCAGTGGGGCTCACCTCCGGCCTCCCCGCCCCAGGATGGCAGCCTGCAATGCCCCACCTGCAAGGCCATCTATGGGGAGAAGACGGGGACCCAGCCCCCCGGGAAGATGGAGTTCCACCTCATCCCGCACTCGCTGCCTGGCTTCGCGGACACGCAGACAATCCGCATCGTCTACGACATCCCCACGGGCATCCAAGTGAGGCCCGCCCCGCAGCCCCCAGGCCCTGCCTGAGGCCCTCCCCCACCCCCACCCCCCAGCCATGTGTCTGTGGTCTAAGCTACCATGCCTCCTGCAGGGACCTGAGCACCCCAACCCGGGAAAGAAGTTCACCGCCAGAGGCTTCCCACGACACTGCTATCTGCCTAACAATGAGAAGGGCCGGAAGGTGGGTCTGCCCCCCACCCCACCCCCAGTCCCTGCTGGCCCCCAAACTAGCACCTGAACAGCTCTGCCCACCTCCTTCATACACACCCCCATCTCAGAAGCCTGTTGAGGTCAGATCTTCACCCCATTTTAGAGAAAGAGATGCGAAGTTTCAGGGAGGGAAGGTCGTTTGCCTGCAATCAAACAGACATGAAATGGTAGAGCTGGGATTTGAACCCAAGCAGTCCAAGCCCTTCCTTCATCCACTACCATGCCGGAGGTTGTCTGACTTTACTTTTTCCTGTATGTGTGTGCCAGTCCTGGGGCTTGAACTCAGAGCCTGGACTCTGTCCCTTACCTAGCGCTATATCACTTGAGCCACAGCTCTACTTCTGACTTTTTGCTGGTTACTTGGATGGAGATAAGTCTCAGGAAGCTTCTTGCCTGGGCTGGCTTTGAATCACCATCTTCAGGTCTCAGCCTCCCGAGTACCTAGCACGACATCTGTGTGCCACCAGCACCCAGTTACTTTTTGTGTGTTTTCAAGAGAAGCCAGAAATTAAGATTTTCATAGAAACTTTGGGGTAGGGAGGAGTTCACTGAGTGGCTGTTGAATGCAGCCCAGGGTCCAATGCAAATACAAGCTAGGGCCACCAGGCCGACAGGGCTTAGCAGACATGGAGTCTCAGGAGGCAGGGTGGCAGTTGGAGCCCCGGGTGACCGGTGCCCGCCCCGGCCCCCCACAGGTGCTGAGACTGCTGATCACAGCCTGGGAGCGCAGGCTCATCTTCACCATCGGCACGTCCAGCACCACCGGAGAGTCAGACACCGTGGTGTGGAACGAGATCCACCACAAGACCGAGTTCGGGTCCAACCTCACGGGCCACGGCTACCCGGATGCCAGCTACCTGGACAACGTGCTGGCCGAGCTCACCGCCCAGGGCGTATCCGAGGCTTCGGCCAAGGCCTGAGGCCCGGGCTGCTCACCTTCCCTCCCGCTTCGCCCCTGCATCTCCAGCAGGTGTGCCCCGGCCACCCAGGTCCCGCACTGGGAGGAGCCTTCGAAAGCCGGAATTGTTCAGGGGACCTGGCTGATGGCAGTCGGGGTGATGGCCACACACCAGGCCAGCTGGCTCCGACCTGAAGCTTCCAGAGAGGGCCAGAGAGAAAGAGAGAGAGAGAGAGAGGGCTGGAAACCACAGAAACATCCCTACCAAAAAGACAGCATCCAGCATCCACCCCTCATTCACAAACACGTGTCCTGTTGAACACATGCACGCACACCCACGTGCCTCTACCTTCCCCCCTACACCAGGGGAGAAGAGAAAAGAACCCCCCCCATGACACCCCATGTGGTCCCACCTGTGTTCCTGGGGCAGCTGCCCACACTGATTTGCTCTCCCGACTCAGGTGGGCACTGACAGGTCTATGGACCCCTGAGGGACGGAGGAAGCCCTGTCACCCCTCGCCTCCTGTGTCATCTCTGCTCCCCAGCAACTGGACACTGTGGGCCTGTGGGGCAAAACCCCCAGATTAGCTTTACATAGGTGGACTGGAGCCAGCAGAGAGGTTCTTGTTTTGTGCGTGTGTCGGTCTTTGTCCTTCTGGGACCCTGCCCCCACCCCGTTCCCCCCCCCCCCTCGTCTGATCTGCCGGCCTTACATCTATCCCAGATAAAGGCACTTTTCTTCATCCCACCCCATCTTGTCCACCAAACCACTCCCGACTCTGTGAAGGCTTCAGGACCAAGAGGAAGAGGCCTCCTCCAGGCCTGTACTAGGGAACAGGAGAGCTGACAGCAGAGAGTTAACTCCCCTCTCCTGGGGGGCGGGGAGTGGGCGGCTGACCGTCTCCAGCCAACCAGAGGCCTGTTGCCTAGGCAACTCACCAGCTCCGCCTCTGTTGATTGGCTGCCCAGGTGGAAGTCAGCCAAGATTTAAAGGGAAGCCAGCTGATGGCTCTTTTGAAAACCTACCAGTCCCACTGTGGGCGGAGAAATAAATGGTCTTTCTCATCGCCCAGTCTTTACCTGCCAAGAAGGGGGCTGGGTGCCTGTGATGCTGGTGGGGGGCATGGGGGAGGGAGTCCTTCAGGAACGATGGCTGGGAAGGGATTGGCAAGCTGAGGGCCAGGGACTTGGGCAGCTGGTGATGCCATGGAAGGAGAGGGAAGAAGGAAAGGGGCAGAGCCTGACACCCTCCGAAGAGACCTCCTTGCACAGGGCCAGGGCACAGCGCACCCACGTTGCTCCCTGAGGCAGGGATGAGGGGACCTCAGGCTGGGAGCCTGGGGGTGAGAGCCTGAGGAGCAGCTAGGGGTGAGCTGGGATCGGAGGCCAGGAAATGTTCCGGAGGCTGCCGGGTGGCCCGCAGGCAGCTCCGGCGGCACCAGGCGACCCCTGCTGGTCATGCAAGGAATAGCACCACCAGCTTCCCTCTGTCACAAAGGCAGAAATGAGGCCCTGCCGCCGGGCAGGTCCGATGCTGCCCAACAGGTCGGATGCTCTCCCATCTGGCCCTCAGGCCTCTTACAGTAACACGCCCAGCCCTGTGCTCCTCCACACACGCTGGGAAGTGGGAGAATGGCGGCTCCTCCAGAACCCTGCTGCCATGGTCAAGTGGGACCCAGGAACCTTCTAGAAAACAGCCTAAGAGAGGTGGGTGGAAGGTAGAGCTTTGACTTCAGGGCCAGCTACCCAGAAACCAGTTTGAAAGCCACACGGCCAAGCTCACTCCCTTCTCATTTTATACAAGGTAAACTGAGGCACAGAGGGTGGGGTGAGGGGAGTGGGGGCGGAGCCAGGCCCAACGTTTCCCAAGCTCCATGGATCTGAGTTTGGCACACTTGGTACCCAACTGCAGTTCTGCTTCAAGGCACCCAATTCCAAAGGCTTGGGGGTTGGGGTCTAGCCAGGGACGTAGGACTGGATGGTTGGTGAAGCACGGGGGTCACAGATGTGAGAACAGGAAGAACCGGGCCCACTGAGTGCCTGTCTGGGACAATAAGACTATCTAGGCATTAGGATTTCAGGAACAGCTGTATCCAGCAGCTCAGGACCAGGCTGGCTTCTTGAGTAAAGAAGAGGTGAGTCCAGTGACGGAAAGACTCCAGGTCGACCAGTCAGGTTCCTTATCCAACCCAGAAAGCAAAGCCTTGTGGTATCGGAGATCCGGCCCCTGCCCTGGGCAGGACTGGGGCACGGAGGACAGCCCCAGAACCCAGAGCCCCGCACACGCTCCCACTCCCTGTGCCAGGGCGGCTTCGGCCTTCCTCAGAGCCGCAGCAGGAACTCCTCATGGGCTCGGTCCAGATCCTCCAGCACCTGCAGCAGGTGGGCGGCGGCTGCTCTCTGCCGGGCCAGGACCTCAGGGGGGGGCCCTGGGGGAGGACAAGGGCCACAGGGGGGACTCAGCTGGCCCCCCAAAGCCGCCAGCCCTCCAGGCCCAATTGCTTTCCTAAAGCTGCAGACTTGCCCTGAGAACCCCAAAATGAGCCTGGAATCAGGAGGTGGGCAGGTGGGCAGGTGGGCACTGGAGGCTGCATGCATGGTGGGGTGAAGCAGGGCTGGGGGGCGAGGAGGACAGGGCCCCTGTCCCTTACTGTCAGTGGTGCCCGGATCCTTCCCGGTGTCGGCCTCTGGAACTAGATCTGGGTTCAGATCCTCCAGGAATTTCATCCTGGTTGTCAAGAAGAGGGAACAGACAAGTCTGGTCTCCAACCCCACCTCCCAAAGCTGCCTGGAGATTCTTGGCTGCTCCTCACCTGAAATCAGAGTCCCACCATCTTCTTCCTACATCCTGCCCAGACATCCACTCCTCTGTCTCAGCAACTGGCATGAGCCGAGTGCTGTCAGCAACTGTTCTCAGACACTATCACTGAGACACAGAGTTAGAGTAGCCTGCCTGAGGTCACACAGCTTTATCATCCCTATTACTCTGTATTGAAAACTAACTCTGTCCCTCGATTTGCTCCCATAACCCTTAGGGTCATACTAAGAGGCCTGTACCATGTTTTTGTGCTGGTCCTGCGGTTTGAACTCAGGGCCTGGGTGGTATCCCTGAGCTTTTTGGCTCAAGGCTAGCGCTCTACCACGTGAGCCACAGCTCCACTTCCAGCTTTTTGCTTTTGGAAGTAAGAGTCTTCTCCTTTTGGAAGTGGCACTGGTTTAACGTGGTAGAGTGCTAGCCTAGTCTTGAGCAAAAGCGCTCAGGGACAGCTCCCAAGCCCTGAGTTCAAGCCTCATGACCTACCAAAAGCAACAACAAAAATCTCTCAGTTTTGTCTGCCTGGGTTGGCTTAGAGCCTTGATTCTCAGATCTCAGCCTCCAGGGTGGCTAAGATTACAGGTGTGAGCACCAGTGCCCACCGGGTCCAGGCAGGTGCTGCAGACCCCAGTGGACGGTGGGTCGGGACGGCCTCTGTCCTGGGCCCCGGAAGGGACAGGGCTGCACCGGGGCGCGGGGCGCTCAGGGGCGCGATGCGGATCGGAGGGCTGGCGCCGCCCCTCCGGGACCCGAGGCGGACCCGCGTGCGCGTGCGCGTGCGCGCAGGCGCGTCACCCACCTGAGCTGGTCCCGGCCCAGGAGCAGCTGCCTGTACACGGCCTGGGTCTCGGCGTCGGGGTCCAGCGGGTCGCTCCAGTCCCCCAGGGTGACCGCGGAGTGCGTGCGGCTGCAGCCGGCGGCTGAGGGGACGTGCGGGGCTCGTCAGGAGACGCTGACTGGAAGGCGCCCCGCGCCCCAGGCACCCCGGCCCGGCCCGCGCCTCCGCCCCCCGCCTCAGAACGCCCCGCCCCGCCCCGCCCTCAGACCTATCCCCGCCTTCAGACCCCGCCCAGCCTTCAGACCCCGCCCCCGCCCCGCCCCTGCCTCAGGCCCATCCCCGCCGCCCCGCCTTCAGACACGTCCCTCCGCCTTCAGACCCCGCCCCCCAGCCCCGCCCCTGCCTCCGACCTCGCCCAGCCCCGCCCCTGCCTCAGACCCCGCCCTCCAGCTCGCCCCTACCTCAGACCCCGCCCTCCAGCTCGCCCCTGCCTCAGACCCCGCCCCCAGCCCCGCCCCACCCTCAGACCCCGCCCCCAGCCCCGCCCGGGCCTCAGACCCCGCCCCCAGCCCCGCCCGGGCCTCAGAGTCCCGGCCCGCCCCCTCGCCCTGGCCTGACCCCCGCCCCGCCACGCCCCGCCCTCAGACCCCCATCCCCCGCCCCGCCGCGGGCCTGGCCCACCGCGCCCCCGGGAGCTGCTAGCGCTCCTCCGGAAGCCCTCCACCCCGGGCGTCCCAGGCGATCGGGGCTCCCCAGAGCCGCAGCCCCTCGAGAGCTGGGGCTGCGATGGTGAAGCAGGCACTGCCTCCCTCGTGTGTTTTGTTGTGGTCGGTCGCGGGCTCGAACCCCGGGCCTGGGCGCCGTCCCCGAGCTCTTCAGCTCAAGGCGGGCGCTCTACCGCTTGAGCCGCAGCGCCAGTCCGTCCTGCCTTTCTAGGGGATCGCTGAAGCCACGAGCCTCGGGACGTCCCTGCCCGGGCTGGCTTGGGGCCGGGGTCCCGTGGCCCGGGCCTCCCGCGGGGCGGGGACGAGCGCTGGGGGCGCGGGCCGGGGCTGGGGGTGCGTGGGGGGCGCGCCGGGGGCAGGGCCGGGGCTGGGGGTGCGTGGGGCGCGCGCCGGGGGCAGGGCCGGGGGCCGGGGGTGCGTGGGGCGCGCGCCGGGGGCAGGGCCCGGGGCCGGGGGTGCGTGGGGGGCGCGCCGGGGGCAGGGCCGGGGGCTGGGGGTGCGTGGGGGGCGCGCCAGGGGCAGGGCCCGGGGCTGGGGGTGCGTGGGGCGCGCGCCGGGGGCAGGGCCGGGGGCCGGGGGTGCGTGGGGCGCGCGCCGGGGGCAGGGCCCGGGGCCGGGGGCCGGGGGTGCGTGGGGCGCGCGCCGGGGGCAGGGCCCGGGGCCGGGGGTGTGTGGGGCACGGGCCGGGAGCAGGGGGCCGGGGGCGCGGGCCGGGGCCGGGGGTGCGTGGGGCGCGCGCCGGGGGCAGGGCCCGGGGCCGGGGGTGCGTGGGGCGCGCGCCGGGGGCAGGGCCCGGGGCCGGGGGTGTGTGGGGCACGGGCCGGGAGCAGGGGGCCGGGGGCGCGGGCCAGGGGTGCGTGGGGCGCGCGCCGGGGCCCTCACCCGCCCGGCCAGCCGCTCACCCCGCGCGCTCGGCCCGCAGGCAGCAGGTCCAGCGGCCGCCGCGGAAGGCCCCGGGGTGGCAGGCGGCCAGCCGCTCGGGGTTGGCGGCGCTGGCTTTGCGCAGGGCCGACAGCCACTGGTTGAGGTCGTTCACGTTCTGCAGGCGAGGCGGCGGTCAGGACCGGTGCGCGGCCCGCGCCGCCCCGCCGCGCCGCCCCGCCGGCCCGCCTCACCTTGCACTGCAGGTAGGTGGTGCGCTGGGCCCCCGCCTCGTCCCCCGTCACCACCTGCATCACGTGCGGCAGCTGGAAGGCGCCCTCGTCCACGCGCTCCACCGCCCGGATGCGCCGCACCGCCAGGGAGACCCGCGCCTGGGACGGGCCCAGTCACCCCGCGGCCGCGCCCCTCCCTCCCTCCCTCCCGCTTCCCCTTCATCCCCTCCTCTCCTCCCCCTTCCTGCCCCTCCCCTTCTTCCTCCTCCTCCTCTCCTCCTCCTTCTCCTTTCCTCCTCTTCCTCCTCCTCCTCTTCTTCGTCCTTCGGGAGAAAAGCCACCCCTAAACATGTGCACTGTGCTGGGAGCTTCCTTCCTTCCTTTCTTTCTTCCTTCCTTCCTTCCTTCCTTCCTTCCTTCCTTCCTTCCTTCCTTCCTTCCTTCTTTCTTTCCTTCCTCTCTTTCTTCCCCCTTCTCTCTTTCCTCTCGCTCTCTCGTCCTTTCTTTCATCAGTTGTGGGGCTTGAACTCAGGTCCTGGGCACTGTCCCTGAGTCTCTTTGTGCTCAAGGCTGGCACTCTACCACTCCGAGCCACAGCACCACTTCTGGCTTTTTCTGAGTATTTATTGGGGAATGGAGTCTCATGGACTTCCCTGCCCTGGCTGGCTTTGAACCTCCATTCTCAGATCTCAGCCTGAGTAGCTAGGATTACAGGTGTGAGCCACCAGCACCTGGCTGGGAGATTAGACTCTATGGCTCCCCCTCACCCAGGGCCTCAGTTTCCCCCCTGGGGAACCCAGCTGCTGGTGCTCGAGCCCCACCTGCCCCTCAGGACTCTTGGCGTAGGCCAGACTGTCCCCGCTGAGCCAGAAGTAGCGCTTCTTGAAGGCGAAGCGCGGGGTCAGGCCGCCTTGCTCCTCTCTCCGCTTGAGCAGGTAGCCTTCCCGAACCGTCTCCGAGGGCGGGACCAGCGCCCGGGTGGGGCTTCCGGTCTCTGGGGAAGGGGAGAGTCAGGTGGGGAGATGAGGGAGGGGACGTCCTTCCTGCTCTCAAGTCAAACCCACATCCTGCCCCACCTCACCCTACCTGCCTGGCTTCGCCTCTCCTTTGTTCCTACCTCAGTCAGTCTTCTCTGACTGCAGGGCCTTTGCATGTGCTGTTCCCCCCCTCAAACTCCTCTCTTCTGATCCCCACTTCCTGCTGGTGCTTCCTGTTTGTACCATGCATTGGGCACTCAACAGACACCGGTCCACAGCCGGCATCCACTGGGGTTGGCCCCAGGCTCCATCCATATCTGAGACCTAGCACTGATCCCAGAAAATGTTTGTTGATGTACCAACTGACAACCCCCCCCAACCTCGTTCTCAGCACTGAGGAGCTGGGAATCCTGCCAGGCCCCTGGCCACAGGACCTCACCCTCACCCTCGTCCACGTCCACCAGCTGGTCCAGGAAGTCCCGCACGCGCGCGACGCTCTGCAACAGGAAGGGGTGGAGCGGGGCCATCCACAGCTCCTTGCCCTGGCCCAGCTGCTGGCCCAGGTTTCCAATGCTCTGCACAGCCTGGGGGGGGGGGGAAGGTCACAGCGCAGACCAGGACCCTCTGCCCACCCAGAACCGGGCTGGCTCCCAGGGTCCCTAGGGAGGAGACCCAGACTGGCCCACGGCTTGGGCACAGCCTGTTCCTCTCCTCCCCTTCTGAGATCCGCACCCCAGTTCCTGTCTTCTGTTCTCCTCTGCATCCCCCCATTGCCACCCCAGGACTGCCCGGATCTGTCATGCACACCAGGGCCCACCAGGACCTCATATTGCTAGGCATGGACTAATTCATACTAAGATGTAGATGACTGCCCATCCCCATCTGGCCCCCCAGTACCTTAGCAAGCAGCAGCAGGGAGCGGCTAGTCTGAGGGTCCGCGTGCTGATCCCGGAGGTCAAACAACTTCGGGGTGAGGATGGCGGGGGCAAAGAACCGCAGGAAGAGAAAGCCACTTATGGCCAGGTACTTTACGTCCTGCAAAAGCAGCAGCAGGTGAGAGGCCACAAAGAGGAGGGTGCTGGGCACACGGGGCAGGGAGGGGAAAGGCTGGGTGGGAGACGGGTCAGGAGGCCATTCTATCCTCCCCGGAGGGTCTTCCTTCCCTGTGTCTCAGTTTCTCCAGCTGGAAAATGAGGTAACTATCAAGACTACAGAATCAGATTTGACCTGGGAGAGAGGCACCATGGTCACGGAAATGTGCCACACAAGGAAGCCGAGGCTCAGAGAGGCCAAGACATTTGTTCACACAGCAGAGTCCGGGAAGCAGGACTCAAACCCAACCCTGTGGTCTGAGAACGGGCCAGGTTTTCTGCACCCATCCCCTGCTCAGTACTCACTCTGGGAGGGATAACACCCCCATTTTACAGAGGGGGCCGCTGAGGACCAAGGCTGCCCAGCTACAGGCAAAAGAACCATTCAGCAGCAAAGCACTGCTTCCAGGAGCGCGCTGGAGCCTTGAGTGACACATTCAATCTCCAATCGCGTGGAACCCTCAAAAGAACCTCAGGGAAACTTCCATGACGCCCATTTTTTGGGAGGCAGAAACTGAGGCCCGGGTTGGCAGGTGTGGAGGCTGCCGGGCCGTGTGCGCTGCGCTCCTCCGCGGTGGGGGTGGGGGCACTTCCGGCCCCCCTCCCCCCAGCGCCCGCCCCCCCACCTGCCCTTTGCATTGACCCGACAGTGGGCTCTGTGTCTGTTCCGGGGTGATGTTCACACAGAGGCAGTGCCTGTCCGGGGGCGTACAGAGCTGGGGGGGGGGCTCGGCCTCGCCCGGGCCCCCCCGGGCCAGGCCCGCAGCGGGAAGAGCGCCTCCCCCTGACCTCCACGGCCCGCAGCCCCGCTCCCCGCCCGCCTCAGCCTCCATGGCACCTCCCTTCTTGGGGATGGGGGACACGTCGGAGCAAATACGGGGTGCCCCGGGGGGCCCCGAGTCCCACCCTGGTGGGCTAGGAAAGCGGGCCTCCAGGGGCTCTAACGGGCTTCCTGGGCGGGGGGACCGGCACCCCCTTTCCTTCCACCCCCCCAAGCCCCTGCCCCACCCCACTTAGCACCTCAGCAGCCCATGGGAGCGGGCAGAGCTGGCTGAAGGAAGCCGGGGCCTCCCAGGCACCGAGGGAGGGGCCGTCTCTACCCTGACGCCCAACAGGACCCTGGACAGCGGCCTCCTCCTGCACCAGCCTGGGGGGTGTGGCCCGCCTACCGGGCCCCGCCCCCGCCACGCCCCCAGCCCCTCCCAGGCCCCCGCCCCAGGCCCCGCCCTCCATACCAACCTGTGCCCCGCCCTGCTCCGGGCTCCACCCTCCACGCCTACCTCGGGCCCGCCCCCGGGTCCCGCCCTCCACACCTACCCATGCCCCGCCTGCCCCAGGCTCCGCCCTCCAGCCAATCTCATGCCCCGCCCCAGGTCCCGCCCCCATGCCAACCTGTGCCCCGCCCCGCCCAAGGCTCCACCCTCCACACCTACCTCCTGCCTGCCCTGGGCCCCGCCCGCCACACCTACCTCCTGCCTGCCCTGGGCCCCGCCCTCCACGCCTACCTCGTGCCCCGCCCCAGGCTCCGCCCTCCACGCCTACCTCGTGCCCCGCCCCCGGGAAGCGCTCCTCCACGCGCCGCCGCAGCTGCTTGAAAGCCAGGCGCAGGGCCAGCGGGCAGCGCCCCACCGAGCCCACAATGGCGTCCACGATGGGCCCCAGGTAGCCGGTCAGCAGCCCCAGGCTGGTCTCGCGCACCTGCTCCTCCGACGGCACGCCCTTGAAGGAGATCCTCCTGCGCAGAGCAGCGCAGCCTGGTCTCCGGCCCACTCGGCCACCCCGGGACCCCCCTGCCGGCTCCCTTCAGGCCACACTCCCTCCACGCCACCGGGCACACCCATGTCACGGCCTTTGGCCACGCCCACACCTGTCAGCTTAAATGTCATCTCTTCAGAGTGGCCCGCCCTCCCTGTCCGTCCTCACCACAGGCCCTGCTTCCCTGCCTCCAGAGCATGCGTGAGACACGCGTGGTCCAACCTCAGGGCCTTTGCACTTGCCGTTTCTCTGTCACCAAATCTCAACAAGGCTCTGTCCCTTGCCACCTTCCAGTCTTTGCACAAAGGTGCCCTGCCTGTCACCGGTCCCCCCCTCCCATCTTGGGCCACTCCGCAGCACTGATCATAGTCAAGAAGCTTCTCTTCTGCTTGTCGACAATCTGCCTCCCTTCCTTGGTTTTCTGCTGTCCTTTGTATCTGGCCCGGAGCCTCCCTGGTTCTCAGAAGCCTGGCTGTCCCTGCAGGGTGCCGTGCTGCCCGGCTCGGGCCCCAGGAGGCCCCTGGGTGGCTCAGCTCACCTGGCTCGGCTCAGGTCCATCTTGCAGGGGTCCAGCTCCATGTACTTCTTCTCCTCGAAGACCCGGCTGATGATGGGGCGCAGCACCTCGTGCAGGTAGTGCATGCCCACGAGCTGAGGGTGGGGTCATGGGGGGGGGCTGAGGGCAGGGGCACAGGGGAGGCTGGGGTACGGCCCCGGCCAGGCTGGGGGGGCAGGCATGGGGGGCGGCGCCCGCCCTCCTCTCACCTTCATGAACTGCTCCATGGATTTGGAGGCCAGGGAGTTGGAACGGAAGAGGACGTTGGGGTCGGCTGGGAGGACAGGGAGTGTATTTGTTGGGGTGCGAGAGGCGCCGCACCCAGCTCAGCCTGGTCACCTGGGGTGGGGGGTTCTTCCAGCCTCGGGGATCAGAGAGACCCCAACTCCACCGGCAGGACAGAGCCAAGCACCCCACCCGCAGACACAGCTCAGAGGGAGCTGAAGGGGCCCGGAGACCGCGCTCAGCCACTGGGGCACCGGGCCTGGGGAGCCACTCCGCGGGGAGCCCCTCCTCAGCCCGGCGTCCTCCCCACCCGCGGCCGCCCATGCGGGCTGCCAGCCGCTCACCGGTGCGGGCCAGCTCCCGGCGGGTGACGTAGTCCAGGAAGTTGCCGGCCAGGCCGCGGCCCAGGAAGAGCTTCACCAGCCGCGTGGCCAGGTCGCGGCCGCAGTCCCCAGAGCTCAGCTCCTCCAGCAGCGCCAGCGGGCTGGCCATGTCCTCCTGTGGGGACCCGGCCCGGAGAGGTGACCCCACACCAGAGAGGTGACCCCACGCTGGAGAGGTGACCTGCTGCCCCGGCACCACGCCACCCGGGAGCTGCAGGGCTGAGGGCTCCCATGCACCTGCTCACCTACCTCCACCCCTCCACCCCCACCCCACCTGCTCACCCACCCTCCACACCCCCACCCCACCCCCCACCCCCACCCCACCTGCACACCCACCTTCACACCCCCACCCCCACCCCCTGCATACCCTCCCCACCCCCACCCCCACCCCCTACACCCCACCTGCACACCCCCACACTGACCCTGGCCGGTCTGCACACCCACCTCCACAGGCCCCCACACCGACCCCTCGAGCAGCTCGGCCAGAGGCCGGTAATACTCAGAGGGCAGCACGCGGTCCTCGGTCAGGCGCACCTTCACCCGCAGGGCGCCCAGGCTGCCCCTGGAGAGACAGCGGGGCGGGGGGGGGGGGCTGGTGTGTGGACCTGAGGCCAGGGGTGTGGGCCCTGGGGAGGGGGGCGGGGGGCAGGTGAAGGGACACTGACTGCAGAAATAGGGACATATGTGCCCAGTTCTGCACATGTGCATGGAATAGGCAGTGTGCACACGTATGAGTGGCAGGCAGGTGTGAGCCGGTGTGAGTGGGTGTGAATGGTATGTGGGGGTAAGTAGGTGTGAGTGGGACACATGCAGGTGTGAATGGTTCAGCCAGGTGTGAGTGGGTGTGAGTAATAGGTGTGAGTGTGAGTGGTAGTCAGGTGTGAGTGGGTACGAACAGCACATCCAGGTGTGAGCCTGTAGGTGCGAACCATACAGCCAGGTGTGGCAGGTATGAGCAGGGAAGGTGCGTGGAGACAGGACTGGTGTGCGGGTGTGCGCACACGCGTGCACGCATACAGATGGACAGTGGCAGATGTGAGTGGTGTGCGTGCTCCGCAGGTGGGTGGTGGGGTGGGCTCGGGGTCCACAGTACACCGTGGGGGCTGGAGAGGGTGCCCACGGGTCCAGCGCAGGCCCCCGTGGCCTTGGGGCCCCGTACCCGGCATCCTCTGCTGCCGTGGGGAAGGGGAGGAGGTGGAACCAGCCGTTGGGGGGCCTCTGCAGCAGGGTCTGGGGGGAGAACTCCACCTGCGGGGACACACACACACACGTGTGCACACAGACGTTTCCTCCCTTCCATTTGGCTTTCTCAGACACGGTTGAACCCCAAGAAGGCCTGGAACTCTCAATCCTCCTGCCTCTTGGGACAGAGGGGTGCACCCCGCACCTCACGCCTCACGCCCTCTCCCCCTGGGGCCCGACACAGGGGAGCAGATGTCTTCCACCATTTGCCGTTTGTTTCCCAGGGCCGACCTCCAGCCGTCCTTCCATCTGTCCCAGCCCTGCCTCCCTGTAGGACCCCAGCCACGCCCTCCTTACAGGTGGGGAGACGGAGACCCCCATGCTCTGGGAGGGGGGCTGCAAAGACCTAAACCAAGTCTAAGTCATGGCACACTGAGAAAGCCAATTTGCCCTCCTGAGCCTCCGTTTCCCCTTCCCTAGCCAGGGCGAACAGCAGCTCAGCTGGGCAGAGCCACCAGGAAGGCCGAGTCAGCACAGCTCTGCTGGACAGCGCACTCCGTCCCCCAGGGGACAATGACACCGCCCTGGGGGCAGCCCGGGCACCAGGGCCCGCACACCCGCCCTTCCCAGCCCAGGAGGCCTTTTTGCCCATCTGTCCCAGAGGCACCGGCACCGTGGAGGGCACCAGAGGGCGGGGCTCACCATGCCCAGGAAGTCATTCTTGCCCACCATGTCCCAGTCCCAGAGTTCCACGCGCAGTGGGGCGACCGCCCCCGGCGCGGCCCGCAGCTCCAGCACCTCGTCCCAGTGCGGGAACCGCGTCTTCTTGATGATCTGGCGTGAGAAACAGTGTGTTTGAGTGACAGGTGGGGGGCGGGCAGAGGGGAGACAGAGGGGGGAACTGAGGGGGGACGGGGCCCACCCACCACCGGGGCCCGCACTGGCCTGCTCCCCCCTCCATGCTCACCGACGTCTCTGAGCTCTGGCTGCCCCAGAACACACGAGCAAACGGGTCCGATGTGCCGGAGATGTCCCGGGGGGCCAGGTCCCTGGGGAGGGGAGAGGGGAGAGACACAGGACGCTTGAGTACCCAGACCCCCAGAAAACGGGCCTCAAGGGAGACCCAGCTGGCCCCGTCCCTACGTCCATCCATCCAAACACTCATGTGTTTCCCCTCAACGGAAAGGTCAAGTCTGCATCAGGAAGTCCAGCAGGACAAGGGGTAGCAGGGAGGGGACAGAGAGTCTCCATTTCCCTGGAGACCCCGGATGGCAGACTGGGACAAAGGATCACATCCCTGGCTCTGCCAGCTTGGCTGGGCCACACTGGGGGGAAATCACTGGACCTCTCTGAGCTTTAGTTTCCTCATGGGGAAAATCACAGGGGCTTCACGGAGTCAAGGGTCACAGAAGATGACTTCATTGTGCCCAGGGCTTGGCGGAGCCCCTGGCAGGTGGGAGCGCTCAGCGCGGTTATTCATTCCACAAATCTTCGCACCCACACCCTGCCCAGGAACCAAGAGCCTGCAGGAGACAGACCACACCCTTGTTTCTATGGCAACACAAAAACCCTCCCCAGCACTGTCTCCAGCCTGCTTCACCAGGCTCCCGCAAACCCAGGAACCCCCTCCACACACCATGAGGGACTGCCTGCTTCCTGCTTCCCCAGGCATCCAGAGACTTTGGTTTCCTAGGAGCCAACATCGTTGCTAAGCGACAGCAGTCAGCCCCTGTCCTGCTGGCGAGGATCCTGCTTTGCCTCTTGGTGGGGAGGGGTCCATGGGCAGAGGAGCCCGGGGCCACACACTGAATCTGCCACCCGGTCCCTGGCCTCCTTGATCCAGTCCTTCTCCATCAGGGTACCAAGGCTGGAGGAATGAGGGAGGACTGAAATCTATAGATGGTAAGCAAGGCTCAGAGAGGGTAAAGAAGGGCTTTATGGTCACACAGCAAAGCTAGAAATCTATTCTCTCCTACCTGGAGGCCCAGAGGCCCAGAAGTGAGGACTGGAGCAGAGGAAAGACAAAAAGGATGACGGATGACAGAGACCGGGAGGAAGGGGCAGATGGACGCAAGGCTGAGGAGAGGGAGGGGATCTCCAAGACAAGGGGAGAGGAACATGGCTGCTGGTGGGCTGGGGCCTTGCTGGCCCTACATCTCTCTTCCTAGAGATTTTCTTCAGGAGAAAAGACCCACCTTCCTGCCCTCTTGGCCCATGTGACTTTGATAAGCCAATCCCTTCTCCCAGACCAGTAATGACCAATCAGGTCTAAAGAGTAGGTCCATGTGATTGGTTCAGAAATAGGCATATGTCCCAGACAGAACCAGTAAGAACCCGCCCGAGGACATTGCTTGGAATGGCCAGTTGTTGGCCACAAAGCTGGAAGCTGCCAGATGGGGGCTAGGGGCTGTCTTGCCCCCACCAGGAGGGATACCAGCCCAGAACAAAGCCAGCACAGCCAAAGATAGAGCCAGTTTCTCACATTCCTGATCGAACCCCTGGATCCAGCCATGCCTGAAGCCATCTCTCCGTTCTATGAACCAACCAATGGACAGTTCTGCTTAAACCAGGATAAACTGAGGATCTCTGTCCGTTACAACTTGATTCTTACATTCCCAACTGGCCTGTCCAATCATCCACCCCCAGTGGTTGGCCCGTGGTTGGCGATCACAGGGAGGGAAGGAAGGGACTAACAAGATCTTACTTGTCATTTGCCCCCCCCTCCCTAGCCCAGAAAGCATGCAAATAGTGAGCTGGGGCTGCAAGCGCTGAAGTCCCCTAGGACAGAAGAGGTCCCAAGGCTCCCGGAGCTGGAAACACAGGGGGCCTGGCCCACGTTCAGACCACGGCCACCCCACCTTGGTGGTGACTGACTGTACCTGGCCTGCCGGATGTGACACCGAAGACAGCGGCCACCTGCGTCATCCAGGACCTGCACCGCCAGGCAGACCTCACCCTGCACCTCTGCATCGGGGTCCACGTGGCTCAGGTTGATCCAGCTGTCGATGCCTGCGGGACACACACAATGATGCTTCTTAGACACGGGCCTAAAAATTCCCCAGTGGGGACTTTTTCCTGGCATGCGTCCTCTGTCTGACATAGGGCCTGTAATCAGCATCATGTTGATGGGAAAACACAAGACCATGGTGGGCCAGGGAGGCTCTGCCCAGGGGGGTACAGCCCCCGCCAATGGGGGTCGGACCAATGCTCTGAGCCGTGTGCTGTGTGTCCCTTGTCACCTTGAAATACAGTCCCTATCCCTCAGCCCTGCTCTGCAGAATCTCGGGCATTCTGTCTGTCTCTGTTCTCTCCAATGCTTCAAAGATAAGATCCTGGTGTCTTCCAGCTCCTATAGTAATGGGGAGTCAGCTTTGTTTATAAATTGTCTATCTTTTCTCCCTCAGTGGGAGACAGTATTGGAGTCTGAACTCAGGCCTCCGCTCGCTAGGCCGGTGCTCTGCAGCGGAGCCACACCCTTACCCCCTTTGTTGTTTGAGTCATTTTAGGGATAGGATCTTGTATTTCTGGCTGGGCCACCGAGGTATCTGGATCTACAGGCCCACTCGGCGGTCACCACACACACAAGGAAACAGGCCACCATGAGCAACAGCACAAGCAGCGTCCGCCCTCGAGACCCGCAAAGACATTAGGTATTTTCCATACGTTACCACTTGTTTCCAGAGTCAAATATTTAAGGACAGAAGAGACGCCATCCCAAGAAGCGCCAGCAATAACAACAACTTAAAGCAAATGAGCAGCAGGCACGGCAGAGCATGCGCTCAGCCCGCGCACGGCGCTCCTCCCCGGGCTCGGTCCCCAGGACAGGAAACAGCAGCATCCTCGGCGAGGTGCCGGGCTCCCGCTACGATGTGGCGTCTCGGGAGGCTGAGACCCGAGGACCACAGCCGGCAGCCAGCCTGGGCAGGCGTCTCCAACTGACCCGCAAGAAGCCAGCGGGAGAGCCGAGCTCCAGCGGCAGAGCGCCGGCCGTGCCAAGGGCAGCGCCAGGCCGAGCGCAGGCCCCGGGCCTGCACCGGACAAAAGAAACCACCGTCCGCAGAGGGGCCCGGCCCACCTCGGGGGTCGGCGGTGATGGCCTCCTTGCTCAGGGAGATCTTGCCGATGATGTCATCGTGCCTGCAAGGGGGGGGGGTGTGAGCCTGGGACCCGCCACCCGCGAGTGCCGCCAGGCAGGCGTCCGGCCGGGCTGCGCCCAGCTGTGGGCAGCACGCCTCCCCCAGCCCCGCTCCTGCGCACCCTGCCCACCCCAGGCCCGCCCCGCACTACCGGATGCCCGGCCCACACGCCCCGCCCCTCTGCGTGTGCCAAAACCCCGCCCACTGCATACCACACCCCTTCCCAGTCACCCCGCCCACAGCCCCGCCCACCACATGCCCCGCCCCCAACTGCCTTGCCCCCTATCCCCACCCACATCCCGCCCCTCTGTGCTCACCACAGCCCCACCCACCATACGCCACGCCCATTGTCCAGCAAAGCCCCGCCCCCTGCATGCCCCGCCCACAGCTCCGCCCCACTCACCCCACGGTGTCCTGGTCCAGCACGTAGAAGGCCAGATGGTGGAAGTCCTGCGGCAGGTGCACCGTGTACTCCTCCCCCCAGAAGGGGCTCAGGCTCCGCCACACGGTCGCAGTCCTGCAAGAGGGGAGTGGGCTGGGCCGGGTCCCCACAGACAGCCACCGCCGCCGGGGACCGTCCCCGCCGACGGCCCAGACAGTCCGGAGCCCCACGGATGCCCTCCAGGACAGGCACCTCACAATACTGACGGGGTCACCACGTGTGCACAGACCCCGTGCACACACGCAGAGGCCTCACACCCACAGACCCCGTGCACACACGCAGAGGCCTCACACACCCACAGACCCCGTGCACACACGCAGAGGCCTCACACACACAGACCCCGTGCACACACGCAGAGGCCTCACACACCCACAGACTCCGTGCACACACGCAGAGGCCTCACACACCCACAGACTCCGTGCACACACGCAGAGGCCTCACACACCCACAGACCCCGTGCACACACGCAGAGGCCTCACACACACAGACCCCGTGCACACACGCAGAGGCCTCACACACCCACAGACTCCGTGCACACACACAGAGACCTCACACACACGGACCCCGTGCACACACGCAGAGGCCTCACACCCACAGACCCCGTGCACACACGCAGAGACCTCACACACCCACAGACCCCGTGCACACACGCAGAGGCCTCACACACACACAGACCCCGTGCACACACGCAGAGGCCTCACATACACAGGCCCCGTGCACATACCCACAGACCCCGTGCACACACGCAGAGGCCTCTCACACACACGGACCCCGTGCACACATGCAGAGGTCTCACACACACACGGACCCCGTGCACACACGCAGAGGCCTCACACACACAAGCCCTGTGCACACACGCAGAGGCCTCACACACACACAGACCCCGTGCACACACGCAGAGGTCTCACACACACACAGACCCCGTGCATACTCAGAGGCCTCACACACACAGACCCCGTGCACACACGCAGAGGCCTCACACACCCAGTCCCGTGCACACACGCAGAGGCCTCACACACACACCCACGGACCCCGTGCACACACACAGAGGTCTCACACACCCACAGACCCCATGCACACACCCACAGACCCCGTGCACACACGCAGAGGCCTCTCACACACACACAGTCCCGTGCACACACACAGAGGCCTCACACACACAGACCCCGTGCACACATGCAGAGACCTCACACACAGACCCCGTGCACACATGCAGAGACCTCACACACACACAGACACTGTGCACACACGCAGAGGCCTCACACACACACGGACCCCGTGCACACACGCAGAGGCCTCACACACACACACAGTCCTGTGCACACACACAGAGGCCTCACACACACAGACCCTGTGCACACACGCAGAGGTCACACACACACGGACCCCGTGCACACACGCAGAGACCTCACACACACAGACCCTGTGCACACACGCAGAGGCCTCACACACACAGACCCTGTGCACACACGCAGAGGTCACACACACACGGACCCCGTGCACACACACAGAGGCCTCACACACACAGACCCTGTGCACACACGCAGAGGCCTCACACACACACGGACCCCGTGCACACACGCAGAGGTCTCACACACACAGACTCCGTGCACACACGCAGAGGCCTCACACACCCACAGACCCCGTGCACACACGCAGAGGCCTCACACACACACAGACCCCGTGCACACACGCAGAGGCCTCACACACCCACAGACCCCGTGCACACACACAGAGGCCTCACACACACACGGACCCCGTGCACACACGCAGAGACCTCACACACACACGGACCCCGTGCACACACGCAGAGGTCTCACACACACAGACCCCGTGCACACACGCAGAGACCTCACACACACAGACCCTGTGCACACACGCAGAGGCCTCACACACACACGGACCCCGTGCACACACGCAGAGGTCACACATGTGCACACACCTACAGAGCCCTGTGCACACACGCAGAGGTCTAACGCACATGTCCACACACGGTGCACATCCGAGGAGCCAGAGTCATAGAGAATGAGCATGTGTGTGTAGTCCACACACACAGAGGCACACCATATACTCCAGGGAGGCCCGAGACACAGCGCACCCCCCACACACAGACACACAGGGTGTCCTCAGAGACTTCTAGAACCACGTACCTGTGTGTGTCACCCAGACACACAGCACGCAGCACCTATGCTGACATGTACCGAGCCACACCCACACCCACACGGGCTTGCTGGTGTGCACGCAGCTCCAGTCACTGTCTCCATCCTTCCAAGGCCTTTGGGAGAGGCCATTGACCAGGTTAGCTCAGGGATGCTGAAGTGAGGCCCGAGGAATACTTACTGCTGGAGAGGGGGGCAAAAGGGAGCGGCAAAGAGGACAAGTGTTCCAGATGGCTGGGACAGCATGTGCAAAGGCCCTGAGGCAGGAGTCGGTCTTTTTTAGTTCAAAGAACCGAGAAGACATCGGAGGCAAGGGAGCACTGAACACCTGAGCACTCTGAGATTCATGGAAAGCAAGAGAGACCGCAGGATGGCCAGGGACCACGTGCTCACACACACACACACACACACACACACACACACACGCTGTGCTTCTGACCCAGCCCAGGGGCACCACCTTCAGACAGACCCTGGACGATTCCTCTTACTCCCTTCCCCGCGCTCAGCCTTTTCCCACGCCTGAGGTCCCCTCTTCTCCCAGCTCCTGATCCAGCAGCTCCTCGGAGCTCAGTGTGTGTATGGGGGGCGACAGCCTGAGATCCTCCAGAAAAGCACTCTGCAGAAGGGGCCGAGAACAGCCCACTCTCGAGGGTGGGAGGGAACAGTGGAGGTCAGCCCAGGGCCCCCGGCCTACCCCTCTCCCCATGGGGTCTCCCCGCTCCCAGCTCCCTGCCCATCTGGACCAGAACTGGCGCCAGGAGCATCCTGAGTCCTGCTGTCTCCATAGGAACCGGGGCTCCCGCCGCTGCCCACCCACCTCCCTCCCGCCTGCCCCGCCCCCGCCACAGGTCCATCCACACCGCCCAGCCCGGACTCACACCCGCGCAGGCAGGCTGGAGCGCTCACGTGGGAGTGCAGAGGGCCCATGTGCATGTGCACACTCACACACACACACACACACACTCACTCATCCTCACACACACTCCCCGGCACCAGCAGCACCCGGCAGGCCCGGAACCAGCCAGTCCAGCCAAGCGTGAGATGCCAGCCCCGGAGAGGCCAGTGGCGGAGAGAGGCACAGGCTGGTGGCGGCTGAGTCACCAGAGAAGAACATGGGAGGATGGTGGGACACGGGGCACGGCGGGGTACGGCGGGCCTCCTCGGGGAGAGGCTCACGCCCCAGATCTTTGGTTATGGTTGGCAGAGGTCTTCATAGGTAGCCCGGTTTGGCCTCCAACTCACAATCCTCCTGCCTCGGCCTCCCAAATGCTGGGACTACAGGTGTGCGCCACTGCACGCGAATTTGCCCTTCCTGGATTCAGCAGGTCTAGGAAGAGCCCCTCCCCCCACTCCGTACCTGGCCACCACCTCATCGTCCACTTTGACCAGGCAGTAGGGGTCACTGCTTCCGGACCTGCGAAGACAAGGGGGTGAGGGAGGGGCTCGACAGCGCAGCCCTGGGGAGAGGCGTCGGTCAATCTGCCTCATCCATCAGGCAGAGGAGGTTGGGCTCCAGGGGGAGAGGGGACTTAGCCGGGGTCATATGGTCAGTCCAGCAACGAAGATGTCACCCCCCCACAACGCGGGTGGGAGCCACTGCATGGATACCTGGCCTTCCTCCCGCCGCCCCCTCCACCCCTGGAGAAAGGGACACAGGGACACAGGACCGGGAAGGGTGGGAGCCCCGAGGCGTGGTTAGGTCCAGTGGTCTTCAGTGCCTGGCCGTGCCCCTGCCCCCAAGGTGGCCGCTGGCACCTCCCTTCCCAACTCCTGGCCTCGACTTCGCTGCCCTGTAAATGGGCCCAGACATTATTTTGGCAGGGGCTGGAGGGATAAAATGGGGGGGCATGATAGACTGGTCCCTGGACAGCCCAGGAACCCCCACCTGCCATGGTGCCTGGGGGTCACTGCTGCCCTCCCCCGGGAGTGGGGATCCCCCAACCTCAGAAGGATGGACCTACAGACAAACCAAACTTCAAAACTGAAGCGATAATAGGCCTGCTATTTCCTCTTGGGCAACCAAGCCAGGCCCATCTCCCTTTCAACATACCAGTCCTTGGGCTGGGAGGGTAGCTCAGTGGTGGAGCGCTTGCCTAGCATGCATGAAGCCCTGGATTCCATTCCTCAGAACCACATACACAGAAAAAGCTGGAAGTGGCGCTGTGGCTCAAGTGATAGAGAGCTAGCCTTGAGCAAAAGAAGCTCAGGGACAGCACTCAGGCCCCGAGTTCACCCTGCAAGCCTTGCACTCCACCCATGCTTCCAGCCCTCAGGGAAGCTGAGGCAGGAGGATCACGCGAAACAGGAGTTCGAAGCCAGCCTGGGCAACATGGCAAGACACAATCTTCACACACACACACAACCCTGAGCCCCCAAAATCATCTCACTCCCCATGTTTCTGCATTTCCCATCTGCCTCCCTCAACCACCAAGCTGTGAGCTTCTTGGGGAACAGTCTGCGCCCCTCTTTCTCCTCCATCTCCCACTTGGCGTGGAGTTGGCCTGGGGGGGTGAGTTCTGAGTGGACAGATGTTTGGAGCATGTGCTGATTCCATCCCCGGGGCCCAGGGCGGGCGGTCAGCCCTCCTGGGGGCTGCCGCCCCTCCCCCATCCCCCCCCTACTCTCCCCCCCCGCCCCCCCCCCCCCCCCCGCCCCTGGTCCTCTCATGGGAGCTGAGCTCAGCACGAGCTGCTCCGGGCTCTGACGCACGAGCCCTTATCGGGATCCCATCAGGTAAGGCCAAGGTGGCGTGGCGAGCCGGGAGGGATGGGTCTCTCCCCTGCCTGGCCTCTCCCACGGCCCCTGCCCCAGGGCAACATGGGAAAGAGGCCCCTCGGTGATCCCTGTCTGGTTTTGTCCTGAGAAGCTGTTGGCGTTCAAATCCTAGGGAACTGTCTCTCGGGTCCTCAGTTTCCCAGGCATGGAGGGCGGAGCCTGGGATGTCTGCCAGCAGCTACGGCCAATCACAGGCGGGACTCTGAAATCCGCTGTGGCCTCCTCTGGGTGAGGTTGGCCATTGCTGTGAACCTGGCTTTGGAGTCTGGGCCCTCCGCCTGAGGGGTGGGCAGAGAATGCAGCCCCTCCCAGAGGCCCCCACCCCCGCTCTGATACCTCAGCATGGTCTGGAAGAAGGGAGCCACCAGCTAGGGAAACTGAGGCAGGGTGGATGGTCACCCAGTCGGGGACCCCTCGCACCACCCTTGCTCTGGGGTGCGGCTCTTTCCTGGGCTGGGGAAAGGCAGGGGGTGAGTGTGACCCAGAGGTGCTAGAATGAGACGTGACTCAAATCCCTTTGCAGGAGGTGTGGGGGTTGAAAGGCAGGTCCTGGCCCAGGACCCCAGCTGCCACCCACCAGGACCGATGGAAGACAGGGCTCAGACAGACAGACAGCCCTCAGCCCTGGATTGTGGAGATGATGGAGGTCCTTAATCTCATTCTTAGAAAGGGTGGCCTGGGAACTGGTCTAGTTCCTCTGTTGTTCTTTCAGGTATATTTGTTTGGGGTGACTGCTGAGAAAGGGGGTGCTAAACTCCCTAAAGCCACAGTGGCAGGGTACTGTGGTAAGAAGGTTCCTGACATCAAAGGCCAGAAAGAGAGAGAGACAGACAGAGACAGAGACAGATGGACAGAGACAGAGAGAGACAGAAACGGAGAGAGCACTCCCCCTCCCAGCAGAGCTAAAGCTCACCCTCAATCAGGACCAAGACTCCGCCTCCCAGCTCACCTTAGCACAGGTGAGCCCCCAAAGGTCCCTAGGATCAGGATGGTGGCTCCGCCCCCAGCCCCCAGTGCCCAGAGGGGAAACCAAGGTTCGGAAAGAGTTTGAGTTCAAGGTCAGGCAGCCAGCATCCTCCCAAGGATTCCACACCTGCCTCAGGTGCTGACATCCTCAGAGCCTCTCTCTGGGCTCCAGGCCAGTGGGGGGGGGGAAGGGGGGGGGAAACTCCCCTTTTCTGCTGAGTCAGCAATTGCTGATTCAGCTGGGGGGGAGCCAGGAACAGAGGCACCCAAGCCACCCCAGCCGGGTCTGTCGCGTGTGGCAGGGACGGGCCCTGGGGGAGGAGGGGAGGGTGACGGCCTCTTCAGGCAGCTGGACACCTAGGGAAATGTCACCCCGGGTCTGGCGGCCACCAGACCTGGGGAGGGGGGGGTCTCAGATCCCTGCGTCAAAAGGACCCCAGGAGGCCACCTGGTGACACTGAACGTTGTTTGCACCGGGACCATCTGGATGGACTCCTGGGAGGGGGGGTTCCCCGATATCCACCCCCAGCACCTGCCTGCAGCCCCCTCCCCAGCTCGGCCAGAGCCCCTGGGGCACATCCCGGAACAAAGACGCCCGCGGCCCGGGCGCCGGGGCGGGCGGCCCTCCCTGGCACGGGGCCGGCCCGGCCTGCCCGACGCCGCCCCCCGCCCGCGCCCGCGCCCCGGCACTCACACGTCCTTGGCGGGCAGCGCCCGGCCCTCCACCACGCGGATACTCAAGGAGCTGCTCCTGGCCATGGCGCTCGGCCCCAAACTTTGCGCGCAGGAGGGCGCCTGGGTTCCGAGGCCGGACCCGAGGGCGCCTACATGCCACCAGCTGCGAGCCTGGCGCCCCGCCCCGGGGTCCCGGCGACCCCTGTGCGGGGCGCGAGGGGCCGGATCCGGGGGTCCGGATGGAGGAGAGGCAATCGAGCCCCTGGGAGGAAAGGGGGGCGCCCGCCGGGCTCCACAGGTAGGAGCTGCGCCCCAGGCCGGCGGGCGCGCGCGCGGGCGGGCGGACGGGCGGAGCGCGCGGGGGCACCACCAGCCCTCGCCGCGGCGCGGGAGCTCCGGGAGGACCGACTGGGCGGGCAGGGGGCGGGAGGGGGAGGCTCAGTGCCGTCCCCGATCCCGCCTCCCGCAGGGTCCCCGCCCGCCCTCCGAGCCCCTCGCGCGCCCTCTGCCGGCACCCCAGCCACGCGCGCCGGAGCGCACGGTGGCGGAGACCCGGGAGAGCGGCCCAGCCCGGCAGCGGGGAGGGCGTGGCCAGGACCGGGGGCGTGGCTTGCGGTGGGAGGGCGTGGCCATTTGTCGGTCGGGCGTGGCCTCCGTCGAGAGTGGGCGTGGTCTCTATTGAGAGGGCGTGGCCTCGGTTATCGCTAATTTGGCTGGGGGCGGCGATCACCTGCTTCCCTCCCTTCTCTTTCTTGGGGTGTCGGCTCGGTGGAGGGAGGGGTCTCCCCCGAGTGTCCAGGGAACCCCGGGGAGTGCGCGGGAGGGGAAGGCGGGGAGATCAATCCTCCAGGAGTCTAGGCACGGGTCTGAGAGCTTCTCTTTGTTCTGCTCCTATCCTTCTGCGTGCCCTGCGCCGTGGCCCCCAGCTCGCGGGTAAAGAAGGTGCCCAGGGCTTAGATAGCGCGGCCACAGTCTCACGGTTAGTAACTGGCTCGCCTTCCTGAGTTTTGATCCTGCTCTGCCGCTTTGGTAGCTGTGCGTTCTGGGGTAAATTGCCTCACCTCTCTGTGCTACGATTTGACTTCCTCCTCTGTGCAATGGGATGATGTCTTATCTTATTCACAGGGTTCTGCGAGAGTTAATTAAAATAATGCAGGAGACGAGTCACGGTCTCTCAGACATCCAGACTGTGTTTAATATCGATACCATAGACGGTGCTTAATACTACTGTCCTTTCCGGGTGTGGCTTATCAATCGCCTCTCCAGGTGTTTCTTCCACCTCGAGTCCAGACCTCTTTTTCCCCTCTGCTCTCACAGGTCCAAGTTGGAACATTTTTCAAGTGTTAAATGTCCAGCAGGGCCTGGTCCAGGCTAGAAAGTGACCTCCCCACCCCCCCACGCTTATTTCTCCCTCTCGGTTTGTCAATCTGCTGAAGCTGCAGGTGCAGGTCTGTCTGACTCAGGCCAGCCCAGATGTCAGGGCTGGACACAGGTGGGTGCGCCCTGCGAGCTGAGGGTGGCAGTCACCACCCAGACTGGCAGGACCGGGAGTGGCCCAATGGCTGCCCTCCCCCTCCCTCCTCCTCCTCCCTCTCTGACTCCTCCCCAGCCAGGCTGGGAGGACTCAGAGTGCTGGAATTCTCTCCTTAGCCTCAGTAGCCGCATCTGAGAAATGGGTCCAGGAGAGCAGCCATAAGCTCATCACCTCTCAAGGTACCAGGAGGGATCCAGGACCAGGGGCAGAACAGCAGTGGCCCCAAAGGAGTAGTGAGACTCCTTTGGCTCTTTGCCCAGAGCACCCCGAAGTCAATGTACACCGGAAGGGGAAATGAAAATGGTCATGTGACCACAACTGCCAGACTGGGTCCCAGGTGACACTGTGCACACACACCTGGGTCTCTGTCTGAACATTTTTGCCCCTTGGGAGGCTGCAGAGGCCTCGGAGCCCTCATCGGGGGCCACGGGCCCCCGTGTTCCTCCTGGCCCAGACGCTTCCTGTTATTCTGAGGGTTCATGACCAGCAGCAACTGGCAGGGGAAGGAGTCAGAGGTGCAGACCAAGCTGCCAGCCAGGAACCGGGGAGCGAGCCCATGGCCCCACAGATCCTCAGGAAAGGCAATCCGCAGGGCGGTGGAAAGCCAGCTGGCCTCCTTCCTGGCACACAGCAGGCGCTTACTAGATGATCCCTGTGAAGGCAACCCTGCAGCCTTTGCCTCACCAGCTCTGGGCAGGTCAGCGCCCGTGGCGCCTGCCACTGCTGCTGTGAAAAGCCTCGGCTGTGGGAGGTGCTGGCCAGGGTGAAGAGCAGCAGCCCGGCATGAGTGGCTCATGCCTGTGATCCGAGCTACTCAGGAGGCTGAGGATTGAGGCTCAAAGGCAGGCAGGAAAGTCCATGAGACTCAAAAAAAAAAAAAAAAAAAAAAAGCTCTCTCTCACACACACAAGAGCAGATGCTAGGTCAGGCTGGCCCAGAGTGCCTTGGTTTCCCCATCTGTAAAATATAGCTCATGCTAGCACTTCTAGCTAGCATGTCTGTGAGTGGGGAAAAATGAATGTCAGCCATTTAGCACACCTGGTAGACAGCAAGCGCTCAATACCTGTCCCGCCACAGTGGGGGAGGCTGATTCCACCCCTGGGCCTGACACTGGGCTTCACTCGGCGGCTGCACTGGGGACCCAGCCGGGACAGAGTGGCAGGCCCAGCAGGGGTGCAGGGCAGGTGCGCCTCACAGCCCCTCGCTGCTCCATATTGGGGCACAGCAGGAATCTGGGGCTCTGGTTCCAGCTGAGGTTTCTGATAGAGATCCCCCAGCCACGCTCTGCCAGCCCTCCTGGCCTTCCTGCCAGGGCACCGAGTGCTGGCTTCATCTGTCCTGATGGACACTCGAAGAGGAGCGTGCTCTGGTCCACCAGCACCTAGAGGACTTGAGCTAGACTCAAGGAGAGAACTCACCCCACGGAAACTGGCCAATCCCACACTGTTTGGGACCATTTCCCAACCTCCCAAAAGGGCCAGAGCTCCCCAGCCCATGAGCCCCTAAACTATGCTCCTGAATTCAACACCCCCATACCCATTCCACCCTGCCTCTCCCCACAGATTCCTTCCACTGAGAAAACCTTTCCATCCCTTCTCCCACCAAGTCCTCACCGAACCATGGCTTCCCTCAGGGCTGGGAAGTGAAGCTCAGGAAACCAGTGTGGCCGGACATCATAGGGCCTTACATAACAAGAGAGTGTCCAGCCAAATGCAGTGGCTCACACCCCAGGTCTCCACTACTCAGGCGGCTGAGATCTGAATCTCAGCAACTGGGAAGGCTGAGATCTGAGGATCATGATTTGAGGCCAGCCCCGGCAGGCAAGTCCATGAGACTCTCACCTCTACTTAACCATCAAAAAGCCAGAAGTGGAGCAGTGGCTCCAGTGGTAGAGCACAAGCCTTGCCCACAAAAGTTCAAGGGTAGCACTCAGGCCCCTCGTTCAAGCCCCAGAACGGGTACCACTAATAACAAAAAACAAAAACAAAAACCCCTCTCCTCTCAGGTTTCTAAAAGAACCTCACTGTCTGTCCTTCCTAGCCTGGCACCGCCTCCAGGAAGTCTTCTCTGACCTGGAGAGGCAGGAAGGAGGCGGTGCCCTGGCCCTTCCCCAGGCCTGGAAGGCCAGGATCTGTGACCTTGGTCTCCGGTTCCGGGTGTGTGTGTGTTTCCCCGTGGTTTACACGCTTGTCTGCTCTCTTAAATGTCAGGGACAATGTCTGATTCATGCCAGGCCTCCTCATCCTTGGAGCAGGGCACTGAAGCTGGGCTTGCTGGGTTAGGTGCTCCAGGACCTCCTGCCCCCCCAAAACAGGGGCCAAACCTGCCCCCCTGTACCCCCTCATTTGCTCCTACGAGGCCCTGGCTGGGCTTGCTGGTCGGAGGGCAGTGAGAGCCCTCTCTTTGTCTCGGACACAAAGCTCCGTTGTCATGGCTCATGAGATTTGGGCACAGAGCCATGGGGCAGTGGGCAGGGCTGCCCCCCCCCCCACTTTGGAATGGAGAAGTAGGAAGAGGGAGGCCGTCTAGCCGGCCTGGGGGGCCTGGGGTGGGGCTATGTCCTGAACCCTGGGGCAAGAGGCCCAGGGTTGGGCGGGGTGAGAGTCGGCATCTTGTGGTCAGCAGCCCCTCCCACTCTCCCACCCCCACCCCGGGGTGACCGGCACAGACGCTGGAAGCTCAGAGGGCAGGGCAGGGGATCCACCCCCACAGGAGCAGCACCCCACTCAACAGAGGGGAATGCAGAGCGAAAGGTACTTTTTTCCTGAGGTCCCCAGTATCTTGAGAACAGGGAGCTTTTCAGCCTTTCACCTCTCCCCCTCCCCCCCAGACCCCCCAGACCCGGGTCCCTGGTTTGTCACCTGTAGCACAGGCGCTGACCTCCTTGGCCCGTGGCAGCCCTGGCTTAGCCCTTCATGCCTGAGCTCCACACTGCAACGAATAGGCCTTTGTTCTCCTCTAGGAGGGGGCCAAAACCCCCTTCCTCAGGGCCTTTGCACATGCCCGTCCACCCACCCACTCTTCTCGCCTCCATTCAGTCCTCCTCTGGATCGGAGCTCACACCTCTGGGCCCGGTGGCCGCTCAGCCCCCTCCAGCCTCTGGTCTGCACACCTGCCACCATTCCATCCACGGCACCCGGAGGGCCGGCAGAACAGACTGAGCGACTCAGCGCGCCGTCCATCGAACTCAGGACCCTGTGCTTGCTGGGCAGGGTCCATCACTGCAGCCACGCCTCCAGCTCGGGCTCCCAGCCCCGCCCCTCTCCCGCCTGGGTTTTCGCCAGGCGGTGTTGTGCCCGTGGTTGCCCAGGCAACCGGGCAAGCTGCACTGGTTTCTGGGAGTCCCGGCAAGCTGCACGCTGCTGCTGCCCCCCTGCGACTCCTCGTACCCCCAGGGGGAGCCGAGCCCCTCCAGATCCCCCCAAGCCACCGCGAGGCGGGCGGGGCCGGGGCGATGGTCCTGTCCCGGAACTCCCCTATGGCCTTGCAAGAAGGTCCTGGGTGAGCTGGGGCAACTGGAGAGGCGGGAGGGAGGACGGGAGGGAGGACGGGAGGGAGGGCAGAGGTCTGGGAAGGCCCCCATCCCTCCCAGTCCCTGGGACCCTGATCTTTGGAGGCACTTCATGATGGGGGAAGGAAAGAAGACAAGCCAGGTCAGAGCAGGCCAACAGCTTCTGTCCACCCTTCCCCCCACCCCCCAGGAAAGTTCTAGGCGTTCAACCCCAGTTGCATGGGTGAGCACTGCTTTGAGCAGGTCTGGCAGAGTTGGGCTGGCCTTGACCAAGGAGACATCTGTCTCCCCGTGGACCCCAGCTGGACAGCCCGCCCCTC